TATTCAAGGTATATTTTTATTGTGGTAGTTTATTCAAGGTATATTTTTATTGTGGTAGTTTATTCAAGGTATATTTTTCTTGTGGTAGTTTATTCAAGGTATCTTCTTATTGTGGTAGTTTATTCAAGGTATATTTTTGTTGTGGTAGTTTATTCAAGGTATATTTTTATTGTGGCAGTTTATTCAAGGTATATTTTTATTGTGGTAGTTTATTCAAGGTATCTTCTTAATGTGGTAGTTTATTCAAGGTATATTTTTGTTGTGGTAGTTTATTCAAGGTATATTTTTATTGTGGTAGTTTATTCAAGGTATGTTTTTATTGTGGTAGTTTATTCAAAGTATATTTTTCTTGTGGTAGTTTATTCAAGGTATATTTTCTCGTGGTAGGTTATTCAAGGTATATTTTTATTGTGGTAGTTTATTCAAGGTATATTTTTATTGTGGTAGTTTATTCAAGGTATATTTTTCTTGTGGTAGGTTATTCAAAGTATATTTTTATTGTGGTAGTTTATTCAAGGTATATTTTTCTTGTGGTAGGTTATTCAAAGTATATTTTTATTGTGGTAGTTTATTCAAGGTATATTTTCTTGTGGTAGTTTATTCAAGGTATATTTTTCTTGTGGTAGTTTATTCAAAGAATATTTTTATTGTGGTTTTTCTTCAATCATTCCAAAATAAGTTAGTCATGATCTTCTGGTTCAATTATTACAAAATAAGTCAGCCATGATCTTCTGGTCCAATTATTCCAAAATAAGTTAGTCATGATCTTCTGGTCCAATTATTCAAAAATAAGTAAGTCATGATCTTCTGGTTCAATTATTACAAAATAAGTCAGCCATGATCTTCTGGTCCAATTATTCCAAAATAAGTTAGTCATGATCTTCTGGTCCAATTATTCAAAAATAAGTTAGTCATGATCTTCTGGTCCAATTATTCAAAAATAAGTAAGTCATGATCTTCTGGTCCAATTATTCAAAAATAAGTTAGTCATGATCTTCTGGTCCAATTATTCCAAAATAAGTTAGTCATGATCTTCTGGTCCAATTATTCAAAAATAAGTCAGTCATGATCTTCTGGTCCAATTATTCAAAAATAAGTCAGTCATGATCTTCTGGTCCAATTATTCCAAAATAAGTTAGTCATGATCTTCTGGTCCAATTATTCAAAAATAAGTCAGTCATGATCTTCTGGTTCAATTATTCCAAAATAAGTCAGTCATGATCTTCTGGTCCAATTATTACAAAATAAGTCAGTCATGATCTTCTGGTCCAATTATTACAAAATAAGTAAGTCATGATTTTCTGGTCCAATTATTCCAAGATAAGTCAGTCATGATCTTCTGGTCCAATTATTACAAAATAAGTAAGTCATGATTTTCTGGTCTAATTATTCCAAGATAAGTCAGTCATGATCTTCTGGTCCAATTATTCCAAAAGTGTTAATTAATTTTAAAGTAAACTCCATAGAATTATGAGCCTTATAAATTCTGATAATAAACCCTTGGTTTGTTTTTGTTTACTTGTTGAATTTCGCGCTATATAATATCAGAATGTCCTTTCGCGGATAAGCGTGATTTTGTAACGTGTCACGTGAATATGACGTAAAGTAAATAATCTATTTTTTACGAGAATACGACGATATTCTCATAACATCCCTAATAACTCTGAAATTCGCTAACAGTTAGGATTATCATCAGAAACAAACGGTACCATGTCCATAGATACCTTAACTATCTTTTCTAACTACGAGGATAAAGTAACACAGATCAAAAGTTATATAAACATCCTGTTTTGTGTGCTGATACTAATATAAGTAAGTACACGAACGTACTTTGATATTCTTAATTCAGGGGGTGTTTTAACCCCTAACCAGCACAATTAGTAGCGAGGGCTGACACTGATGAAGATGGATGAAGATGAGAGGCAGTTGTGTCTTGGATTTTCTTAAATACGTCACTGATTCACTTACAATAGTAGGACCTCTGGTGTCACATATCTGCACACAACTCTGTTGAATGTTCTTTGAGTATTATCTATTTATTCGATATTTTTAACTTATCTGTTCAGCAACGGAGAACTTTAATAACAAGAGAATCGACACTGATCTGGGGCCCAATCTTACTCTTGTTTTGATGAGAAACAATGTTGTGCCAAGAATGAGATGATAACCACGTGCACCTGTTAAAAGAAATGTGAGCCCATGTTACAGATGATGTGTTCTCTAGGGAAACAACTTGAGGTAGAGTGTAGTTGGAATACTTAAATACTCTTATTTTAAATGGTTCTTAGAGTGGGCTGTTCTGGATTATTGGGGATTTATTTAGTCGCAATATGTTGTTCTATACGGGGTGATATTGTAAAGATCATTGGGGATTTATTTAATAACAATATTGTTGTTCTGTGCGGGGTGATATTATTAAATAAATCCCCAATGATCTTTATCACAATATTGTTGTTCTGTACGGGGTGATATTGTTTGACAATGTTCACTTCTAAGTATAACACTCTTCTCTAATATGTTTAATAGTGTTCACTCCTAAGTTTCACACTGCTCCATAATAAGTTTGACAGTGTTCTCTCCTAAGTTTCACACTGCTCTCTAATATGTTTGACAGTGTTCTCTCCTAAGTTTCACACTGTTCTCTAATATATCTGACAGTGTTCACTCCTAGGTTTCACACTGTTCTCTAATATATCTGACAATGTTCACTTCTAAGTTTAACACTCTTCTCTAATATGTTTAATAGTGTTCACTCCTAGGTTTCACACTGTTCTCTAATATATCTGACAGTGTTCACTTCTAAGTTTAACACTCTTCTCTAATATGTTTAATAGTGTTCTCTCCTAAGTTT